TACCGCTTTCGTCAATTACACCCGGATCCATGAACACCTGATGGAAGTAGATGTCCAAGAGGGACGTAAGATATCCTGGCTGGAACCCCCGAAAGGAATTTTTCTCGAAGAAAGCTCGACTGATGATCGACTGACAGCAAGTTCACCCGAGTTCGCGGTATACCTAGCTTGTCAGCTGCCATGTCGTGTAATCAAGAATGGATTGCTCGAAGAACTGGACCTGAGTGGACATGCCGAGGCGGCTCGTAATTATCGACTCCCATTGGCTCAAGGGACTGAAGTCCCTTGGTTCCTCGACTGGCCCAGATGGGAAGATGCGCCCGAACCATTGCCTGGTGCTGAAGACAGGGAGGTCTACGAATTCCGACTCCTGTGGCCTGGTCCACCCCCTTCCAACAAGGACCCGTCCACCCTCAAGTTGGTGGAGAAACATCGTCTAAGCCGGACATTCTACTACCCAGATACCGGACACTTCATGACTCGCGCCGAGGCACAAGAAGTGGTCATGGACGACACTGAGCGACAACTGGCACAGCCAGATTCACCGACTCCTTTCGACGAAGGCTCAGATGAGCTGACATCGGGAACGTTAGGTTTGAACCTAGGAGATGCTTCCATGCCGCCTCCATCTCCCAACTGGCCAGGTGCAGGGAGTTCGGTCTTCCTACCTCCTCCGAATGTGGTGGTGCCGCAACCAAGCGTTCATCCTACCAACACCCCATCCGCCCTTTCCACTGATAACTCTTCCACCTCATCCTCTCCCTCAGGTTCGTCAAACCATAACCGCTGGAGGAAATTGCCTCGAGAAGAGAGAAGGTCCCAACAGTATCCTGGCCGAAGAGAAGGATCAGTCTCGGGTCATTTGGGACAGGCTCGTTGGCAAATGGGGAACGAAACCTGTCGAACTCAGATGGACTCATATCGCCCCGGACCTAGTCGATCCGACTATGACAGAGATGTGGATAGAAGGTGGTCTTCTTGACCTACATCTCGGGAATCGATTGCTCGAAGGGACAGCCGCTCCAACCCGAGAGACTCGAATCCCGATCCTTCCCTTTCTAGCATGGTACCATATAGCGCCGGAGGGCCACAGTCAATTCCGCGGATGCCAACCTTTGCGATGCCGGTCAATCCTACGTGGGTGGTGGACAGCAACACCAACACCGCTGTGCCTGCCTTCATCGTCAACCTGGCAGCTCCTCCAACAACTGTCCATCCTCCTTCTATGACCTGGCCCTACCCCCCGCCTGTGCAGTACCCGGGATCGGATCTGCACCCATCCTCCTCTGGTGGAGCTCAGTACGATTCCCTCCATCCGGATTCCTATCACGAGCATTCGAGAAGCCGGTCGCCCTGGAGAGACGACCTGCGGAGATATGTCCCTTGGGGACCGCGTCATGGTCATTAGGAGACTGGGGGGCGATGTTACGGATACGGAGTCTCCAACAACCATATCCGTTGCATAGTCACGGACTTCTCCTCTCTATCGCTCCCCCTCTTTCTCTCTTTCGTCCTCTATCCCGATACCCTACCCTCCTTATTCATTCTACCATTTCCTCCCCCCCCTCGTGCAAAGCTTTCCCCATTGGGGTTTTGGTGCTGGCCGAGGTTACTTGTGTTTTGCGGGATTTCCCACGACCTTACCATTTGTAGATAGTCACGCGTCTTGTATGGAAACCACCGAAGGCAGTTCCCGCTAACTAACAACTGCTCTACAACTGTCTTGTGTGTCGTCTTCTGTAACAACCCTCCCTGTGACTCAACTGAACCTGTGTGATTGTACAACTCTCAACATGTCTTATAAGTCTGGTTATATCGAGTCCTCTAACGGCCCTCACCGTGAGAACTCAAGGTCGCGAGTCGAAGACTCTCGACATGTATATCGTCCTATGGAATCTGTACCCTATAGGTCCTCATCACTCCGCTCTCCCCCCAGTACTCAACATACGACGTCATATCACAATCATGGAGATCGTGAATACTCTGAGGCCCACTTTCCCGTGATGCCGGCACGTTCGCTATGCGAACGCCAAGTAGCCGCCCATCCACTGTCTGTTCCTCCTTCGTCAGTCATCATGTTTCCCTGCCAACGGTACATTCCCTTTGGGAATGCCAAGTCACCGAAGGCCCTGTTAGTCAATCCTCATTCCACGCTTATGATATCGACCCGCTACCAGTACGTTCGCATGTGAACGCCAAGTACCCGATGGCAGCTATATGAAGTTCTCGCCCATCTCACAAGTCACGACCTTGCACATGGCACGCTCCATTGAGGAGCGCCAAGTACCCATGGCTGACCCGTCCGTCCTGGCATCTCCGACTACCTCCCATCAATCCCTTAATAGCTCACCACATCACCAATCACGATTGATGGGAATTCGATCATCCACTCCCAGGCAAGACTGGGATCACTCATCGATTACATATCCCATTATGGTACAGACTAGACACGACCTTCGTCATCCCTCTATAAGAACAGATCGAGGAATGGGGAATTTCCCCCATCCCCGTAACATTGTGGGAACAGAATTTGCAGAACCAAATGTTGCCATGCATCAGCCAGTATCTCAACATTGCTTGTGGGAACAAACTCTGTGGAAGCAAATTTTGCCCTGCACCAGCTGAGAGATACCTTCATTCCTCCGCCCATAGGTCCCTCCATGTGGAGGTGCCATAGGTGCTAGGTGCCACCTCTGGGATGCCAGGGACTTAGGTGCCAGGGTGCTGAGACCCAAAGGGTACTAGGACATGGAGTGCTAGGGTACTGGGGTCAAGTCCCAGGGAAAATTTCTCAACCCTAGCGACCCAAGTCTAGCCTATAATGTTACAAAAATGGGGCTGGAAGCGCCCATTTTCGTCCGTTCTGGCACAGGAATAGGGAAGGGGGTGGGACATAATGGTTTACAGGTGGTTTCACAGATGGTTTGACATGTGGTGTAACAGATGTTAGCACAGTGGGTTTTTAGTTAATTATTGCTTGGATAAACTATATTACTATATAAATCACATGATACAGAACCCATAAGAGTCTAAAATGGGAAATTCCCATTTCCATAACATATAATGTACCATTAACCAGGCTGTGCAACATGCCTGGACCCAGGCACACCAGGTGATGCCATACACACCGGACACCCCTGAGATCTCTTATGGAGATACCTGGGCAGATATGGCTGTGCACGTAGATGACGTGGCGCTCCCCACGTGACCTCCAACTGCATGTACATAAACACAGCCTAAGTGGGAACTGAGAAGTAACCTTCTTCTCACACTTCCCACTTTAGGCAAGTAGCTTACATTCCCCTGCTAATAATAATAACACACTTCCCACTTTAGCCTAAGTGGCCAGGGATGCTGTAATGGGTCTATTGCCTTGACTTGAGACAGAGAAGAGGGGGAGGGTGGTAGTGTGTGCGGGTGTGGTTTGTTGGGCCAGTCGTGGGTGCTACTGAGTCTGCAAAAACCTCAAACAAACACTCACCTACATCTCCCTTGGACGTCAAGGCTGAGTATTATGATGAGAGGGGTCTTAGATGTGAGCAACTAGCTCAGAGGGGGCGTTAGGGTCGTGGATGGCATCTTTGCCACTTGGATGCAACTTCTGCTTGTCCCTTCACGGGTCTATTCAATACTAACTTGTTATGTACAAGCTATTATCTAGTTTATATGAGTTGGAAATGGAATGAATGGAGTGGGGGAATGTAAACGGGCCGTTAGGCAACTGTAAATGATAAATATCCAATTGGGAACAAAGAAACAATAAAAGAAATATGAATGAATGGGGAAAATGTGACAATGGGTCCGAAATGGGAATTGTGAAGGTTAACTCCGCAACACTTCGCCGCAGCGCCCGCCTATCCTCCCGTCAGCAACCTCCTCGTCTCCAGCTTTCCAACGAGCCCTTATTCATCCCAATTGGTGCAGTACTTCTTGAGATGTGGCCATTGACAGGTGCTGTCAAGACCATGTGAGACTATACTCCATGCTGAACCATCCGGGTATGGGATTGCCATTCTGGGAAATGCTCCGGGGGTAAAGAAGGATGGTAGAGAATCACTATCGGGTAGAAAAACGGCTGGTTTGTATGTGTGGTTATGGAGATCTAGAGAGGGGGTGAAATTGGCAGCATGGTTGGGTGTGGGAATTTTGCTTGGGGTTGTTGGGAATGATGGGGACAATATGGAAAAATATGGAGTGAGTGTATGGAGTGTTGGATAGTGGTAGAATGAGTATCGGGAGTGTCAGCGGATATGTAGTGCGTGTTGGTGACCAAATCCTGCAGAATCCGACTTTTTGCGGTACACGGAGTTGTCCCCACAACAACGACGCCCTTTTGTGCCAGGTCCGTTAGCACGTGCACCTGTGCTACACCCTATCGGGTCCTCAGTGCCGGGTGACACATCCGGGCGCTCTCGACCCCGGGTCGCTCCCTGACAACAGATGAGACTATCTCATATAGTGACATCCCGGGTGATCCTACTTTCCAGATGGGAACTTGTCTGTCACTGAATTTATCCAGTTTACACTTCCAGTCCTCTGAACAAATTTACAAGGTTAACATACTCCCTGTGCCTATTCATGAGCAGGAACATGGCACACACACAAGAAACTTGGAAGACCAAATGAAAATTTTCCGTTTTTGAATGTAAATACATTCCAGAAATGGAAAATTTGAATCGCCTTGCACAGCCACCTTGCCTCAGCAACGTGACACCCAAACACCCAACCGCCAACCGGCTGTGACGCGTGACAGACCCTGAATTTCGACCGGACCGGGAGGTCTCTGTGACGCATGACCGGTAGTTGGTCATGTGAGTACAGTATTTTGCGAATGATGTATTGTACTGTTCTCAAGCCAAAGGCTGTCAACTTGTTACCATAATAATAGCCATACATTCTCCGGATCATAAACATGTCTCTATTCTATCATCGGACCATTCATCATCCTCATCTGTCTCTGATTCGTGTATATAAAATATTTTGGGATGTGGCTTGGAAATTCAAGTCTTCACCCCAATACGATCTCCTGGAGGATAGAATCGGTCAGGATGAAACTCCCCTGGAACTCTACTGGTATTTAATTAAGTCAGTCCTATCAATCATCTTGAACCTCACTACGTACTCATTCTCTCGAGGAGGCAAAAGGTTCCAGACATGTTCATCCCCAGTTCGCTGGAACAGTTCCTCTACATATTCCCTAACTGATAAGGGTAGCTCCTTTGGAATAACATGTTTGACAGTACGAAGGGGTATCGGGTTTTCGGGTATCTGGATAGTACTTATGAGTCTATTGTTTTGATTGAATGTGATCATTGCGTGTGTCCTCACCACAACTTGTTTCTCCCTTAGTTCTTCTCGGGTTTTTTTTCCCGCAAGAAAAAGAGCCATGAGAAGTGTGATGAAGAGGGCTGTCATTGTTGCGGTAGAGGCCATCTCTCTTAAATGTTGTAGTTTGGTTTGGGGTGATCGCAATCAAAAATTACCCGGTTTTTCCAAGAATTTCTTCTCACGCCAACCTAGTTTATACTCCAAAACAACCATGAGCGTAAGCTCAAGCAGACTCATCTTTTTTCAAACATATACTTAAAGCTGGGGCGAATTATGATCAAGCCGCTCTGCGCTGGCTTTGGGGCAGGCCTTGGTCGCCTGACGTTGTACTGACAAACTGACACATGTTGGACGCCGCTCCGATTCCACCTCTATCCTCGCTCCCACCGTTTGGAACCACTGCCAGTCCAGGTAGCAGACCCCCCGGGTCTTCTTCACTTCCATGTTACTCGCTTCACATCAACCTACTGGATGGTCACACCAGCACCTCAGTCTCAGCCAAGAATCACTCCCATCTTGAGCGCTGCAGACTTTGACCCCTGGACGTCGTTCCGATGTATGCCGTCCCAGCGGTGGAATAGTAGTGCCCTATTGACGATGCTAAGTACATATATATCGCGGTTTTCGACAACGGAACGCGTTGTTGATATCCGGAAGTTGGATTGACAGTCGTGTCCACATTTTCTATCTCCCATTCAACTACTATTGGATTAGCATTTTGATGGTGTTTTCTTGATGCTGAATCATTTGACACGTAGCCCAACTGCCACACTACTCTCTTTTAAAGGCTACAAGGATGACGCCAACCCAACCATGGTTAGTTCGCCCACCATCGACCGATCCCGGCCCCTTCCATGTCCCCCCCCTCTCCTGAGCATGCTGCCGCCCCCAACAATTCCAACAAAGAAGTCTTCGATGCCTCCACGTCACACCCCTCCTCCAGAACTCATTCAACTGCAACTGCGCCAACCTTTGGAAGACAGTCATCTTTACTGGTTCCGCCAAATCGTCCTGGCAGTAGCATTCCTCTATTTCAAGCTGGTCTACATCAACCACCTTCGACTGGCCGCTTTAGATCTGCGGCAAATGGAGCAACCAAATCCGGATCAGCATTCATCACACCTAGAACAGGCGTGACCCCAAAAGCCAATCACTGACGCAGCTCCCAGTTCCGAGACACCGATCCAATCTGCACCATCAACCAATCCAACAGTTATTCATGCTATCACGCAGACCATGATCGGGGGGAGTTCTTGGATAAGTACACCCGGCGAGTTGTTGGTAAAGGCCACGGCGAGAAACGGCATAAACGGTTCTTTTGGACACATCCCTATACTAGGACTCTGTACTGGAGCTCAGCGGGCCCAGGCGCTTCCGGGTGAATCGACTGCTCAAAGTGGTAAGTTCATTCTGATCTATGCACACAGCTCAGGCTCAAATTCCGCTTTGTTGGACAGCCTACATTGACACCGTTAAGTCCGTTATTGATCCCAATCCCATTCCTCCTACCTCGTGTCCTTGGCGACATTGATGCATACGAGCTCGAAATGTGGAGGTTTACAAACTCACCAGCTAATTTCGTCGACAATGATCATGAAGTGCTTGAGGTGCCAGTCAGCGAGGCATTTTCTAATATGGGGGTTAAAAAACTCTTTACAAGGCAGGTAATAGCAGGCTTGAACATCTCAGCTGGAGAGGCACTGCTTGTCAAGTTTCCTGGTGCGTCAACACTCATCCTGATAAGTAGACACCTGGCTTTGTGACAGGCTGAAAGCCACAGACAGAGGACGACAGTGAGCATTCAACACATTCGAAGCTTCGTCTTCAAGTGCCACAATTAGATCCTCCTGTTCTCGAACTGTACTGTCTCATTTGTGGCGATGGCGCCAACCATATCTTTCTGGTCAAAATTGCGAGTACAGAGTCTGTCGGCACCCTCAAGGAGATCATTAGGGAGAAGAATAAGTTCGCTCTCGAACACATGGACGCAAAGACCCTCACACTCTGGAAGGTTTCCATCCCGGTCGATGACAGTCTCAAGGAGAATGTGAAGAAGGTTGAACTTAACGATGAGGAAATGCTATCACCTGTCCATTGATGGTCCTCCATTTTTCCCGATCCACTGCCCCAACTTCATCTACACATTATTATCAAGTTTCCGCCCGGCAAGTCCATATCATCCACTAGTCAACGTCCCCTATTATATAAAGGCGACCGCGTCGCCGAAGCCCACAAGGCATGGGGTTCATCCGTTTCACAAGAGGCCCCTTCCTCAGGAGGCCTACCCAAAAGGTTTGTTGCCGTCCAGAAAAAGGACAAACCTGCGTTTGCGGATACCCATCTCACTATATTCAGCCAGTTCCAAGATGACTGTAAAACTTATACACCCACCAAGGAAGACCATGATTTCGCTTTAAAGTTCTCCCATTCTATGTCAAATATTTACGCCAACGAAGGGGACAGGGCTGACCAAGCTCGAAAAGATTTCGCAAGCTATGGTCTCGACTTGTTGCCCACCAGAATTGGCAAGTATTGGACTGATGGAGATCTTCGCTACAAGGGCTTTTGCTTTGCACTCATCGAGGCCAAGGCAGAGCTTTCCACCGGCGGTGCTGAGCCTTTTTTCGAGGCTGCCTGGTACTATAGTGCCTTCATAAGGAACCACTTTGACGAAACCCGTTCACGTCTCCCTTGCTTTTGTTGGAGGAACACCACGCATTAACCGATCTCTATTGTCGCATGATTTGCATGTGACTTCCGTTATAGTATAGTCACGCTTATTTTTTGAATTCTTTTCTTTTTTCCTCAGTTCTCGCTGTAGAGACTGAGGTCAGTCCCTTTTATCCAACTTCATATTTAGCTCCTATCTTACATTGTAGTTAGTCACTCCTTTAGGTTAGGATAATCTATCTTAGTTCTCGCTGTAGAGACTGAGTCACTCCTTTAGACATTTTATTAGCTTTATCCTCTACCTTGCTGGTGAGCTTCCACGTTTCTTCTCCTGGATACACCCTAAATTCATGCCCTAGGTGCCCAGGCTTTTCCGGCACCGTCTTGACCATTCACCCTCATCTGGAGGTCCTAGCCCCCACGTTGCCGCTCTTCTATCATGCATCCAACGTCGATATGCGCATGCAAGCTGCCCGTTTTTTTGGGGCAACAAAAAATGCGATTCTCGCATTGAATAGTTACTACGAATCCGAACTTCCACATATAACCTCTAACCCGATCCTTACGTTTCCATATCCTACCAACTTCGATTCCCTGTGCGGTACCACAAAGTACACATTTGAATACTCATCACAGCTTGACGAGAAGAGGCTCCTATTTTCCGGCACTGTTGGTGATGAGAAAATATTCACCCACTGATACTCCGAGGATGCACATCTTGCATGCTTCTCGCTTGGTTGTGCACCTGCTTCGAAGTGGTATCAGCCCATTGCGGGTGGATGGTATATGGTTGTCATGGCTTTAATCGGGGATGATTATCATGAATTGCGGCATTCAGAGATGAAAGCCTTGTTCAAAGCCGAAATCGAAGAGAAGGTGAACAAAAAGCATTTGTGCATGGTGATATTCGAACCACCAACGTTATGGTGCGGAAAGACGGTAAGCCTGGAATTCTACTAGTTGACTTTGACTGGGCAGGCAAAATTGAGGAAGTGCGATATCCAATGAATGTGAATAATGTTGATCTAAAGGAGCAGTTGATGGCGAGCTTATTAAGGCTGACCATGATATTGATATGATAAAGTATATGTTTCAATGAATCTGTCAATTGATAACACCCTATTATTATACACATTGACTCCAGTTTTTGTTGATGTGGCAGCCCGATGCCACACGAGGACAAAGGGGAGGTGGAGCTGCAGGCAAAGCGTTGCCGAGTGGCAAACCCTTAGTCGCACAAAGTGTCGGAGGCGCTAGTTTCACCATTGTTATCCGCTTTGTTGTATAGTTAGATAGACATAAAAGGGCGAGGATTACCTGAGTGCGATGCTCAACCCCGTTTGACATCGCGCTCTAGGTAAGTCCTCAACCTTACAGATTGTACATAGTTTACATCTTGCCTAACATTAAACATCGCGCTCTAGACACCGTGCTCTAGTCTTCCTCCCGCTGATTTACAGGTTATCAGCCCAGTACAACTCTGCCCCAGCACTGTGCAAAGCCTACCGCCCGGCACCGCTGAACTGTTGTCTGACACAACTGCCCAGTTCTGACTCGCCACACCCACCACCCAGCACTGCTGAATTTTTGTTTGAAACGACTGCCCAGTTCTGACTCGCCGCACTTCTGTTCTGGTTGTAACACCGAAGAAGCATGACTGCTGCCCTGCTCAAAGATTCTGCCATTGACAAGGCCGTTCTTACCATCCCCAAACTAAAAGGATGAGATGACTGGGTCCTGTGGTCTGGGAACCTCGAAATAGCCATGGACCACACCTGGGACTTCATCGAAGGCAGCAACACCACAGTTCCTGATGCATCCAAAGTAACTGAACACCAAGATTGAGTAATTGGGGATCAGAATGCTCATTGAAGGATCTGGCTCTCACTTGATGAATCAATCCAATGCAATGCCTTTCCACACAGGAAAAGCTCCGCTGCCGTCCTGTTCAAGGCCCTCAAGGATGAATATGAGGACTCTGGATCCACAGCGGAATTCTATGCCAGACAGAGCTATGACAACGCTAAGCTCAGTGACTACAACTCAGTTTCAGAATACCTGACAGCCCTTATCAATTTTGCCTACCTGGTCAACAAGGAAGTGACTGACAACGAGGACCGCATTGGAAATCGTTCGATCGCCATGCGCCTCATCCATACACTCCCACCCTGCATGCATACACTACAGACAATGCTCCTCGATACTCCTCTTCCAAGGGGTGTGAAGTGGAACTTGGATGAGGAGTTTTTCTGGTTCCCTTACATTTTGTAAGGTGAGGTACTTGTCCAGGTGGACGAGGTCGTTGCAATTTCCTAGGGGTTCCCATGTGGTGTCCCCTAGTTCCCATTTGACCTTAAACCAGAGTTCGTTGTGAACCCACGCATGGTTTAGGATTTCGCGAACTACTGCTTCGCGATCGGGGTCTTCCCCAAAATCGTAGAATATGTTTACTTCCCTATTTGGGAAGATTTCCTGGTCATTCGGCTCGTGAGGTACAAGCCGGGATACGTGGAATCTTGGGTGGATTCTGCGTTGTTCAAGTTGTGGTGGCAACTTGAGGACATAGTTTGACGTCTCTGGAAATGTTTCCAGAATTTCGTAAGGCCCTATGTATAAGGGCTTTAGTTTTCCTGCCCTCCCTTTGGGTAGGTTCTGTTAGAAATGGGCGGATACAGACAACTCCGGAGTGGAATCGGAGACTTAGCGTGGAGGGACCTTGGCCTCAGCAACTCAAGCGGAGCGCTGTGCCATTGCTGTTTGTCCATTTGGTCCTTAATTTCACAGTAGGCGAGCAGGAAGTCTCTAGGGGCATTTCAGGTCGATTTCGGACTGAGCCCAAAATGAGTATGTACAAGCGCCGATATATATAATGGAGGGGGCAGAAGCACAAGGAAACAAAGGGGATCCGAATCGGAACGAAGACGTCTGAATGGGGACAAAGGGAAGACAGAAGCGGAGTGGTACCGAAGGTCATAAGGTGGGACCTGTGATACGTCCGAAAGGAGGTAGGGAGGGCGAGGCCCAGAGGGGCAGGAGGAAGAGGAGAAGTGGGGATGATGACTAACTGGCTAGAATGGGAAGAAGCAGCAGTCCAAATAGGGATGAGGGGAAAACGTGAAAGATACATTACAAGCAGCGAAAGTGCCGAAGGCGATCTGCGAAGCTCGGAGGTTGCGGAGGTTACAGAGGTTACAGAGGCAGGGTTGAAAGTCCGAGGAATATTGGCAATGGTGTTTACATAGTATGAGGTCACCAATGCAATGGACTAAGACCGAGGTGGAGTCAAAGTCCGAGGTCGGGACTATGACAGAGGCTCGGAGCAAAGGTACGAGCAGTGCCCAAGTACGAAGTATGGGACAGCGGTGGAAGGTCGTAACTTGGTGGGAGGTCGGCGGAAGAGTACCAGAGGGAGGAGAGAGGAGAAAGGTAAGAGGGAAGGGGTGGTGGAAAGGAGAGTTGTCTGGTCCGAAGGTGAGTATCGGAGCGGACGGGGAAAGCGTAGGGGGGTGACGGAAGGGTGGCGGTGTTGTGAAGGGGGAGCGGAGTAGGAGGAGGAGGAGTAGTAGGAGGGTGGCGAGAGGGGCGAGAGGGGCGGTGTTCGGTCCGAGGTGAGTATCGGAGCGGATGGAGATAGGGGAGGAGAGGGAAGGAGGAGTAGAGGTGGCATGGGGGGTAGAAGGAGGTGTGTTGCCAGGACCAAAGGTGAGTATCGGAACGGGCAGTGGTAGGGTATGACTCCGGAAGTCGGGTCGGGGTCGGGTATGCATGGATATGACAGGTTCAGCTTATCCGTGGATAAGTATGCAAGCTCGCCTTTTCTCAAAGGCGGGTCTGGGTGTCTTTTCTTATTCGCCTGGATTGTTTGAGCAGCACGATTGTGTATTATCGCGTTGTGTGCTGCCATGAGGTTTTCCTTTGCTTTTTGGGCGAAGTCATTTACTCCCGGTAGTCCGAGAGTGGTGCTGTTAGGCACATCTTTGGCATATGGCCGTAGATTAATTCGAACGGGGCAAATCCTGTCGATGTGTTCGAGCTTGCATTGATCGCGAATTCCGCCATCGACAGTTTCGCTGCCCAGTCGCGTTGATCTGGTCTAACCATCGCGCATAGTATTTGTACTACTTTTTGTATCATTCTTTCCGCTTGGCCGTCGCCTTGCGGGTGGAATGCAGTTGTGAATTTCAACTGCACACCGAGTATTCAGTGTAATTTGTGCCAAAATTTTGACGTGAATTTCGAGTCTCGGTCTGATATGATTGAGTGTGGTAGACCGTGGAGTCTTACAACTTCACAAAGAAATACGAATGCTAGTTCTAGTGCGTTCGTTGTTGTCTTTATTGGAATTAGGTGGACATTGGACGTCAACCTACAAATGATTACCCAGAGGTAATCATATCCCAAGCTTGTTGGGAATGGACCTGTGAAGTCCATGGCTATTGATGACCATGGTGTCTCTGGGGTTGGGAGTGGGTGAAGCATTCCGGGATTTCTCCTGGTGCTTTTCTTTGTCGTTTGACAAGTTCCGCAAGACCTACAGAACTTGTGGGTATCCTTCCTCATCGACTTCCACCAGAAGTGTCGACAGAGGGTTTCCACTGTTTTCTTGGATCCTAGGTGTCCAAGTGTTTCGTGGATGTTCTCGAGGATTATTCCTCGAATGGACTTCCTTTCGTAGTTCCCTTTCGGGACTACTATTTGGGTCGTTCTGTCATATCCATACAATCCTGACCTCCGCTCCGGGCTCCCGGAACTCCGAACCTTACTTCCCTTCCGTCACCTCCTCCTTGCTGACTCCCAAGAGGTTATCCCACCTCCAGCTCTGACACCACCTTCGGTCCGACTCCGGGACATTCCAGGTCCGACCCCAACCTCAACACCTTCCAGACGAGTATGCAAAACCTATGCTCCTGACTCCGGACCTCCACTCCGGAATCCCGTTTGCGTCTCTGTCTCCGGAACCTCCGGTCTTAGCTCCGACCTCGGACTTTGACCCCACCTCCGCTTATACCCATTGTATTGGTTAGCTCATTCCATTTAATTACGTTTGCCAAT